TCCCGGATGTCCGGAAGCGTTTTGGCTGAGCTTGGATCAATTTTGACGCCTAAAACTGGCCGTGGCGCAAATCCATCCGCCATGGACTTCGATGACTTGGACGAGGCGGCGGGCGTTTTCAAACTCCCTCCGGGGACCTGACCTGGCTGCGGGACCTGACCTGTCGGAGGTTGGGGAGAACCCCCCGCGAGGTCTTGAGACAAACGCCACATGTCTTCCGAAGATGGGCTGATCTGGGCGTGGTTTCCGGGTCGGAAGATGCTTGGCACAGCGCGTTCGCGCTTGACCCCGACCATGCAATTCTGCTCCCCAGAGTGCTGGCGCGGCCTGAGGTGGAAGTGGTCGCCGATGCTGCCGAAGAAAAGGCAAAAGCACGTGTTGTGGGGGGTTCATCGTGGGGTTCATTTTTTGTGCATGAATCTGAACAAGGAGACCGCAGACACTCAAAGACCCCATGGTAAAAGGAAAGAAACACAAGTCATCGATTGATTGGGGTGTGGCTGTCTCCATGTTGCGCGGCCTTCCCATACCACGATCAAGCAATTTATGGAAGAAAAACAGGGTGTAGAAACCTGTGGGCAACCAGAAGATCAGCAACTACAATACAATCAGCAAAAAATGCCTTCCATCAGGCTATATCAGGCTTATTCCAACCTCGGCCAAACAAAAGCCTCCACAAAACACCTCCCCCCTTTGGCCCAGGAGTTTTGCTTGGGGCGCTTGATTCTCTTTATTGAAGGGGTTGCCCGGCTCCGCCCACGCCCATGATCCACAACTCTAATGGATCTCAAGAGCACCCAACTCTAATGGAACATTTTCTGAATTTTGTTCTCTAGGCCGCCGCAGAGCGTGCCGCCGCTGCAGAGAAGCTCTCCGCCGAGAGGCGCGGCTTGCGGTCAGGCGATGTTTGAGAGGCGATTCTCAAAACCCATCAGGCACATGGAACTTCCAGCTGCCATGTTCCACAGATGTTTCATTTTCGTGCAGATGTCCTCTACAGAATCAAGCTACCTGGGATACTCAAAAGAGCTAGATTATAGGGGGCCGTACTGAGTGGATAAAATTGGAGGGGTCAGTGCCTGGACTTTATCTGTGTGCCAGCCTGCCAGCAACCTATCCAGGGGGTCTGTCCTCCAAAAAAACCAACCCAAGTAAGGAGTGGATAATATTTTTTGGGGGTGGATAAAATGGGGTCAGTGCATCAAAAATATCCAGAATAAACGCTCCAATTTTATCCACTCGCTAGTGGGAGTAGAAAAGGAAAGAAAAGATAGAACATCGCTCGTGGGACGTTCGTTAGATTTCCGCTCGTTAGATTTTCCGAGCTCCATGGACGTCATGATCACAGAGAACCAAAAAATTGTCGGCGAAACTTGCCAACGGAACGTCAAAGCATCAGTCACCGCGGGCTTTCAACTGCTCCAACAGCTGGAAGCACTCTTGGTCAGCGCCTTTCAGCTCTGGATCATTCTCAGTGGGACCCTGTGTTTCGACGTGAGGAGTCTGAAAAATAGTGGTGAGGCCTCACACTCATCCAGGTTCATGTTATAGTCTTCCTCATCGGGATCCTGCACCAGGTCTTCCATGAGATTCGCAGCCTGTGAAAAGGACACGTGTGAAACATGTGCGTCCTAAAAACAACCTGGATATTTTCCTTGGTACTGAGGTTGGGGAGATATACAAATGACAAGTTGTGGGATACGCTGAAATTAATCTTCTTCTGCTGCTTCTGGGTCTGGAGAGCTTTCAAAAAATTGCTCAACAGCAGCGAATATAAAAAAAAGGTGCGCTGACATCTGGACAAAACAATTTCAATGCAGAAGTTCCGTTCAACAAAGGAGCTGCTTCCCGGTCGCTCTGGGCATCGTAACCCTGATAAACTCCCGCTGGCATTCCTAAGTCCAGAGCGGCTGTCAAGTCCACAAAATACCGGCCAAAATGTACAGTTCGACCAGCACTGCGGGCCATGCAATCGACATTCTTTTGCAAGTGGTTGGACCCATTGATTCCAAACCAACCTCAACCACAACCACAACCAACCTTCTAAGGTTTGCAGACTTCCGCAACAATCCTTAGTTTTGCAGACCACCACAGAGCACATAGAGCGTTGGAAAAAAACCTGGGCCTGGGATCGTTTCTTTTTGTCTCGTTTGTCGATTAGCATCTACTTTTGAGGGGGGGGGGTTCCTCGATCCTATTCGTCTAGCTTGCTAACCTCAGGCCTTCTCAAAATTATCTATCTGCACTGGTTGTGTACTTTTTTTTGGGGGGGGGGCCTTATGTTGGCCCTCTGGCCTTCAAATTTATCCACCGGTTTTGGCTAAAAACCCGTCAGTCCCTGGAAATTATCCGGTACTGACCCCGGACGCCAGTACAACGGGGTATCTAGATTTGAAGGGGCATGATGTTTGGAAAGGCGTTTTCCGACCGACCAAACACCATGAAGGTCTTCATCACCGGCTTCACCGGCCCTTTGAACAGATCGCACACTGCGCGAATGCGCGGGTCGGGTCGGGTCGAGTTCGTCGTCGATAGGCGGGCGAAGCTGAAGGAGGATGCCGTGGAGGCGCCCAAGGAGGCGCCGAAGGCCATCGAGGGGCGGGAATTGGAGGTGAAAAAGTCAAAAGGTGCAAATTGGGAGAGTGTGAGACCCTGTCAGGTGGTGGGATATGCATTTGCATCACCTTCGATTGAACGTCAAATACTTGGTGACGATTGAACGATTTATAGTTATAAACTATAGACCCAAAAATGGATTGCTTGGTGTCGAGTTCCTTGTCACATTTAACATGCAACCTGTACATTGTTATTGTGTAAGTCAGTCTCAAAAAGGTTTGGTAGAAGTTCCTCACGATTGCGAATTGGTGTTGGCTTTTAGTTGATGTATGCAGGGTGGTTGACCTTTATAAGTTGTTGCGTTGGAGTCAGGTGTTGCTGGCCGCTTGTCGATTGGTGTGCAGAGGCGGACAAATCCTTTTCACATCCATTCACCAGAAGGGCCACTTGTCCAGGTTCCCATGGCTGCCGGTAGGCATTCAGTGACCGCGGCCAATGGAAGGCTTCCTTCCATTCATCACAACCTGTTTTTGATCAGTGGTACATGGATCCAGCAATGCTGGTGACGTAGCATTGAGATGCATTGCGTGGGCAGCCACCGGACAAGGCCACAGACACAGACCCCGGCGACCCTCGCCAGGCGGCCAATGGAACCAACGGCGCCAGCGACGCTCCGTCCGTCCCGCTGTGGGAAGTGGTCGGAGGCGCCACCCCGGATGTTGGAACATGGTTTGAACCAGGCTGCTTGGAGGGGCAACAACTGGTTTTGAAAGCTAGAAGGATGTTTCGGGCACATGTTTCTGAAACGATGTTTCTGAAACTATGCTATACCTATATATATATATATAGTGTGTTTTGCAAACTGCTTGGTATGTTTCGGAAACTATGGGACACTATGGGACGGTATAAGTGCTTACACTAAGATCACTAAGTATCACCAAGTGACATACTGTTGCAATCGCAGAGAACGTCACCAAGTTGGCCCCAACCCCCCCACCTCAACTGCCAATCCAGTGAGTGTCTACAGGTAATATCAGGTAATGTTGCGATTGTGGCTTCTGACAGACATGTAAGTATTCAGAAACTTTCTGATACGCACATGGTTTCTGAAACGTGCATAGTTCCTGAAACTGGTGCCATAGTTTCTGAAACCGTGTTTGATCATTGTGGTCAAAAGCCACACTACAGTCACATCAAACATTTTGTGTGTTATTCGTGGTTTCGAAGGGATTCAACCATTTCCATTTGCCATGTGACTGTTTTTCCAGCACGCGAACGTTCGGTGCGCCGTTCTCGAGGTGCCGACAAGGGTGGCATTCTGGTGCGTGATGGTGAGAGCACGTCCTCGCAACAGCTCTCAGAACGACTTAGCCCCTCTGGTTGCAGAGCATTTTGCCAGTGGAGGCCGCACGAATTCACAACAAAAGAACAAAAAACATCAAACAACAAGATGAGCCACATCCAGTATTAGTTCATAGAATCACTTGCCCATCCTCGCACCCAGGGTGGCCTCCAAAGTTTGACACATTTCAGGCGAGCTACACGTCCTCTTGGGAGGAATCCCATCTGATTCCACCAAATTCCGGAACTTCTAACTTGTTCCCAGGAACAGCACATGATTCACTACCTGGGTTTTTTCACTGCGTCTAAGAGCCGTTGCCTCCCCACCTCCCTACCACGTTACTTGCAGTTCATGGCTCCGTCCCGGCTCCTTCCGGCGGCGTCCGCCTCTTCCTCCGCGGCGGCGGCTTTTTACGGTCGGAAGCGACCGGACCGAGGTACCGGGGCCAAGGTGGAGCAATTGGAGCTTAAGGGTCAAAGGCTTCACTATCGCCTCAAGTCAGGACCGGAGCGTCACAACGTCACGTCTCGGCGAAGAGGGTCCGATGCGAAGGTCCGATGCGACGAGCTTCGAAGGTCGAGCGTGCGATAGAGTGCGTGCGTGTGTTTGCAAGACAAAGAGATGCAAAGAGTTCCAATCTAGATCAGATGCGCGTCTGGTCAGCTAGGTGCAACGTGGTGCAACATACGACATGTGAATAAGTTAACACGATGATTACACAGAGGTCTACACGATTCAGCCCTATTCTTGAGACCGAGCACAGCTCCGGCGGGGTCGCAGGAACTGGGCCTCAGGAGGGCTGGATCAGCATCGCGCTTTCAGGCCACACGGGGAGGGGCGGTCAGGGGGTTCCGTCCTGATCATATTTGCCTTAAATAGAGCATTGGCACATCCGGTCTGGAAATGTTGGGGGGGGAATTTGAACCGGGATTGGTCAATATATATCCTATCATGATGATAAGGATGCTATATCATTGTATGATATACCATACCTGTAAGTTTGGGTCCAAACTTGGATCCCCTTTCAGGCGCTCATGTTCACCTGTTCATTACCATCGGATGGAGGCGGATGGAGGGGCTCCTTCAGCCAGGTTCAGCGCAGATGGGTCTTAGTCTTGGTCTTCGGCAGGATGTGGGTCTTAGTCTTCGAAATCGTGAGCCCCCCCCCCAACGTCCCGGGACGTTGCATGCCCCCCCCCACATCCCAAAACACCACACACCGGCGCGAGGACCGAACGCAAGGACGGCGTTCGTTCGTGGCGTTCGAGCGCCTCCCGCAGGCAAAGACTTGGCCGTGCTCCTGCGACCCCACGTGCCGGTGCTTCCACGTGATACGGAGCCCCGTTGCTCCGGCGAGCTTGCCAAGGCGGGTTTGAGTCCTAGAGCAAGTGGAGTCCTCGACCTAGAAATGGAAGAGGACATCGACATAAAATGACATGAAACATTTTCAGCACGGTAGGTCTTCATTGCACTTCAGGGAGTGGCATTTAGGTCCTGAGGGTCAAGAACTAGAAGGGTACAGTCACCAAAAGAACGTTCCGTAGTTGTGATGCCAGATGACATTGAAGAATTGACCAATCCACCTGAATACCGATGGGGTCCTATGGTCTCGTTTTTGTGGCAGTCGGACCATGTAGGACATCCCAGTTCCCATTGCAAACATGGAACCTGCATTGGTCTCGACCCAAAAGGTGCTCGCAATGTTGCAGAGGTTACAGTACCCTCCCTGCAACAATCATGGAAGTGGACAACCCCCTCTTGGTAGAGGAAAGTAGTCTTCCAAGGGGCCACTGTTCACTTCCATGATTGTTTCAGGGAGGTACTGGGGTGTACATCACTATTCACACTATTTCCAATGTGGCTGTTTTGGGCCATGATGACTTAAGAACGGATTCCCACCGGGCAACGCAGAACTCTCAGCTGTGGCCGCTTTTGGGGGGAGCGCTATTTTGTCGAAGACTGAAAGGACTAAGCGAGCTTGTTAGCAGCATTCTGCCTCAGCCCCTTGAGCCTCTCCGGCATTCGACAGCATTTGATGTATCGATCGAGCCTTCCCAAGCGCCAGCTCCAGATTCACGGCCGGATCGCCGGTTCAGGCGCCCGTGGGTTGGACTCCGGTGAGCATGCCGCAGCTGCAAGAGAAGCACATGCAGATGGTGACTCGGAGGAAGTGGGAGGCCCCCAGGTGTCCTGTGAAAAAGCACGGTGAAAACATGGCACTAGCATTCGAGTTTTTCCAAACGTTCCCGAAATTGTTCCCAAAACTTCGTGCAAGTTTCAAAGAAGTCTTCTATGGGCCATTGTCCTTTCATCATTGGATGTGGACGTTGGACGTTTGTTTTATAATGTTCACTTATATTTTTGCACATTGGACTACACCGACTAACACTGTCAGATCGCTTTTTTCGATGTTCTGGCTATGCAGAGCCTCAAGTTCTGAACACGCTCAGGGTCATGAAAAATGTTGACCCCCAGAAGGTGGTTGGGGTGGGTGTCAGGGGGGGTCTAACCACCTTCTGAGGATGTGGTTGGAGCCCTAGGGTTCAATCTTGAGAACCCTTACCCCTACTCCAATCCCTTTGGGGCGTTTGCCGCTTGTTTCAATTTGCTCCCTATCTTGGACCTTCAACATCCTTTTGTTCAAAGGCCCACGACCATCCACCCGCGCAGTCCAGGGGACAGGCATCATTTACAAGATCGATTTTCCGTTCAATGCCGAGACTTGGCTGTTTCGCGTGCGCCCAACGACGGGAACTCTTCCGTTTTTCCCTGGTCCGGGGGTTGAACGCGGTGCAAGAATGTGGAAGACCTGTGAGATGCTGTTGAGGATGTGTGCATTTAAACTTTACACGCCGCAGGTGTATTCTTGAGGCGAACTCACATAAGATGCTGCTCCAAAGAGACGCCAAGCTGGTATTGTCATGAGACGTTTTGAGGCATTCTCGTTCTTGTTTTTCCCGTTTGGCAATTGAACAGCATACTCCATCCAGCATGGAGTAGCCAGGGCGGGCGGGTTGAGTCGGAATCAGGTGAGGACTCGACCCACGGGGGTGGCCGCTGAAAGTTGATTGGGGTGATCTCTCAACACGATGCAGTGGAATTGTGCGACTGATGGGTGGGATGCTTGTGACGAAAGACACAACAAGTCTGTGGAGACGTTATGTCGCATGATGTTGCACACTTCGCGTGCAGGACTTGGATCCTTTTGCAGCTTCGAAGCTGCCTTCGGAATGAATCCGGTTCCAAGACCTATTTGTGATGTGTTACATGTTCTCACATATTTGGGCAAGCGAACGACTGCCTTCTGCGCTCAAGAACACGGTTCTATACATCACGGCACGTGCAGTGCAATATATTCAGTGCATGCCGCGTGAATCGACCGGGCACAGAGCCTACCGGTGGTTGGGTTCACAGTCATTTGGAAGAACACTGAGATACACTGAGCCTTTGTTTTTGGTGGTGGGCGAGGTCCGTTTCCAAAAAAAACAAAGGTGGGAGCTGGATCGAGGATCGAAGTGAAGACCTCAGACGGACCGTCCACTGCGCAGGTGGCCAATCTTGAGCCAAGTAAAGTGATTGGTGGTAAGAATACTTTAATAAGTTTGATACGGCCAGAAGTGATTCAGATGGTCAGAATGATCAGACGTTTTATACTTATTTTGTATAATACTGATATATTCATTGCGCCTGTGTCCAGGTGCCAGGCCAGTCATCAACACTGGCCGTTGACCAGAAAACAATTTGCACCCCCCTCCAACAACGTTGGCTTGAACTGTTCAGCCAGTGAAAGTGGAGAACCTTACTAACATGGAAGTGGAGAATGGCCCCGAAAGGAAGACCATGAAATCCACGACAAACAGGTGGTGTTCCCCTCCACGTAACCATGTTAGTTAGAGGGGAGAGAGTATTCTTTGGGGAGCTTGGTGGCACACAGCTGTTTGACCGGTGGCACATAAGTTCGGCGCTGAGGAGTTGCTACAGAAGATGGGGCCGTCATGGCTCACCAAGGCCTTCCATACGGCAGGTGCGGTGGTGCTGGCGCATCGAGAGGGTGTCAAGTGGCACAACAGCGAGTTGCAGAGGCCTAGTTGAAACAGATCTTTGCAACATGCTGAGGAATTCATCCTACACACATCCACCTAAGATGAACGAACCCACATGTTGAAAGTTTTGGAGTAGTACTCCCAGACACCTGCAGCTGCAGGTGGCTGAAGGTGGAGACATGTGTTTTTTCCCAGAGCGTCCATTCATGCCCAGATCTTTGAACGTGAAGACGGACACGAAGACAAGTCGCACAAAGACACGTGACTCCTGTGGGGGGACGCTTTTGTTTTTGTTTTTTGGGTGGCATGTTTGATTTCTGAAGGTGCCAAATCCAAAGGGGCGACCCCCTATCTCACTCCTCACTCCTCACGGACAGACAGAGATAGACAGACTCAAACAGGGACTCCAAGCACGGACCGATCCTTTCCTGATACCTAGCGTCTCGACCCTTTCTCGGCTGGCGACGTTGGCGGTGCTGCGAGATGTTTTCAGGCTCCATGCCCAAAGACAATAAGGTGAAGACCTTGAAGAACATTAAGGAGAACCCCGCCGTCGTGTGTCACGCGACCTTGCCCCTATGAAGTCGCATCACGCGACAGATTCGACGCCGCGGGCATCGACACGGTTTTAGGGGGTTGTGAGGCGATGAAGAAAAGGAATTTCATGAGTGTCCTGAGGGTACTAAGAGTCAGGAACCAAAAATACCACACGTTCCTCCTTGCAGCCATTGCCTGTTGAACAAGGGTTGGGGACAAAGGATGATTCCAATTGCCTGGAAGACGACTTGGCGGACAGTTCCATGGTTAGTTTGCGCGCGCATCAGGGTTCCTGCGATGTCTGGTGGATGTGGTGTTTGTTGGGGTGTTGTGAATGACAAAACCATCACAAACCTTGGCATCTCTCCCCACAAAACTGAGAAGGGAGAAGAACTCATCACCGAGCCCAGCAACTCCTCCAGGTGAGGTCGGAATCAAGGGTGACGAGTGTCAGCTGGGGAATGTATGGGGTCCCATACTGGTGATGGTCCCAGAATCAAAGACGAATGCGGGGATTTGTTCGACTTCAGCTATGACTTGGCCTTGCAACTGTGGTATGGGAAATTAACCAACCTGGAATTCACATCGAGTGCTCACCTATGTTTGTGCCACAACTGTTTGTTATCCGTTTTATCAAGTTCTCCAAGTCTTCACGCGTCATGAGATGTCAAGAAACATGTGTGCCTGGCATTGCCCGGCCCACGGTCCGCCCCACGTCTATCTCATTTGCCTCGCGCCTGCGTTGGCAGGAATACATCGGCGGAGGGAACTGCTCCAAGCTGGTCTTCGATGCGCCCTGGCCGAGAGGACCTCCTCGCCCTGGCGACCCAAACGCGCAGTCGGAGTTGATCTCCCTAGCCCGTCGAGAACGGGAGATGTGAGGCACATGGTAGCGATCAGAGACTCATACAGAACCACCTCTCAAATCCTCTAAAGAATGTTACAGTACTGACCATTTTACTTGTACTTGATCATGTCGACCTGCACTTATGTAACTCATAGCGCAGCCAAAAGCGCCAATCAGTCCTTGTGAATTCTTTCCTGTCCCTCCAAAATGCCTTCTTAAGCCGGTGTTCTTGATTCATAATGAACTGTCACAAACGTGGTCTTGCCCGAGACTGTCAGGTGGAGTATGAGCAGCCAGCGCCCGATTTGCATACCGAGCTCTTTGCGAAGATCCCCTTCCCACTGGCCGGCAACACGCTGTCTGATCGTATGGCATCGTCCGTGATGCAGATGCTTTCCACGAGTGGTCATCGATAGGGGTCGGAAGGGTGTGGAAGGTTGTGGAAGATTACGGTGTCTACGGGCTTCAGGGTTGGGTGTCTTCATGTGCCCCTTTGATCTCAATTGCAAATTGGGATGAACATTTTAAAGACTCGCTTGTTGATGCTTGTTGTAGGTCTTGGCAATCGACCAAAGCATGAAGAACGTGAAGAAGACATATAAAATCACACATAGATATGTATTTAAACAGATAGAGGAAACACAACGCAAAGATTGACTAGAATCTAGTAGATGATATTACGAACACCGTGATTCACCTACAGCCTACAGCATGTATCACTTAACCCCCCAAAAAGACTTGTCTGCTCCCGCCACTCGGAGAGACCCATCCCCAAGGAGTGGAGCAGAGATCGGAGAGATCAATGCTCAAAGACTTTTAGAGCACCTGGGACCTGGGCCGAGCTCGAGCGCGGCACGCGACCACAGAGAAAGACCGCTCGTGCGAAGGCACGACTGAGGATCAGTCACTGATCCTCAGGGAGGAGAAGTTCCTTCATGACTCCGGATGTGGGGGGGATGTGAGGGTTTTTCCCACCCTTCAATCTCTAACACCGCACCGTGTGGAAGGAAAGGTTTATACCTGTTCTCCGGACATTCGAGGCGGCACATAGCTAGAGCCTCGGCGGTGAAGAAGGATTCACAGGGGCCCCCCAGAGCTCCAATGGCATCCTCAGAAGACGGACCTCCAAACGTAGTTTCGCGTTGGTCATTGGGGTCCGCCCTTTGCCAGATGATTCTATGGCTGGATTCCATGTTATTTTGGTTGGGAGGCACAAGGCGTGAGTATGGGACCGCGCTGCCCTACCAATCCTGGAGGCCCAGCACAGCACGACAACGCAAAGCTTGGCCTTCCTTCATGTTATTAATTCATTAATTCGATTGATCAGTCGTCTTCATGTTTTTGATCGTTTTGGGCATGGACCTTCCTGACGGTTCTTGACCTGCAGGCTGTCGATCGGGCCGGACCTTCAATCGTCGTGCCTGAGGTCGCGCCTTCCTTTCAGCATCCCCAGGTACTATTTTGGCGATGTGTCGAACGATGCTCAGCTGTGAGAGCACACGGTTTTCCTTGGCAGGGCGCCCGTTGGTTGGCTTGCGTTTATCAACTCCACTTGATCACTTGATCTTAGACCCTTCCCGTTGAGTGAACACGAACTCACCAGTCCTCGGACCGGCCACGAACTCACCGGACGGGGCGGGGTGGGTGGGTGGGCCTTTTCGGCTTCGGCGAGCCGAGGACACCTCCAACTGGATCCTCATCACCGAGCGGATCCCTTTCGGGCCGCTGGGGCTAAGAGCGACCAGGGGTGGAAGAGAGTTTCGGAGGGTTTGGATTCCACAGCCGAGGTTTGTAGAGGCCAAGAAACTGTTGGAGTATGTTGGAGTTGTTCTTTCGTTGGGTATTTGTTCCAAGTTGTCTTGACATTTTTCACTTTGTGGGTTAGGGCCAGGGATGGTTAGGGTATGTGGTCTGTGGGGCCAGACAGATCACAGATCAGAATTCTTGGACGTGCCAGTGGAGCTCCTGGAGGCTAGACACACTGATGATTGGAACATGCAGGGAAGCCTCTTTGGCACCCTTTTGGCACCGGCCCCCAGGAACGGATCAAACCATGAGCGGGCCCCTCATGGGGTTCCGGCCCAGAATGTTGGGCTCCATTGGTGGGCGGGACTGACCATGCGGCGAAGAACGGCAGGCTGAGGTGATTGCAGACCTGCAGCTTCCCATATCCATAGACATCGTTCTTCCCAGCTTTTCTTGGTTGGATGCAGAATCCACCACTTTGACCAAGCAGCTATCCATCTCCGAAGATGGTGGCACGGATGCATCAAAGAACGCTTTTTCCCCCTAAGGAAGCAAGATGGTGATCGAAAGATGGACCCTGCCTATGACAAGATGAAGGACCGCGGCAGGTGCCCAGCCCCGGCACCTCCACCGAAAAAAACAGCCCTTTTTGCGACAGGGGCTGGGGGAGTGGCTCGTGGCCACATGTCTCATGGGGTGCTCTCCTGCAGTGTATTTCTTGTATGATCTTGTATGTTGGTGCGGTTTGATGGAAGATATGCCACATCGAAGAGGAGTCTCAAGTTGAACTTATTATCTGAACTATTCTGAACCTAACCGTACTACAGTATAGTTATTTGTTATGAATTTGTCATGCACTGGTTTGCAATTCTGAAGTTGCTCCACTCTTCTGGGTATCCATGGGCGGACCCCATTTTGTATGATGAGACCTGAGTGGGCCTCATAGAGTCGAATGTATCCAGATGGCCTGGGGGTATCCCTTTTTCGATCTCGCGCACGTATCTTTACCGTCGCTGAGAGGACTGGGAGCTGAAGGGGACTGTAGACGAGTACTATTTCCTGCTGACCACCTATGGCGCCCGCATGGCGGGCATGGACAAGGCGGGCATGGGAGAAAAAGGCTTACGCGCAGTGCACACAGCGTTGAAGCCCGCTTTGTAACGCTATTGCGTTCGAACACCTTCCGAGAAGGGACTGGACATGGAGACCAGAACTGTTCCTGAACCTTCAAACGTAGCAGAAATTTCAGTACATCTCAAATTTGTAGCATAAATCATGATTGGATCAAAACGACCACTTTTTGGAGGGTCGAGCAGAAATCTGAAATCGAACAGTTTTTGCCTCCGCAGTGGCCACCATTGGCTCTAGGGGAGCTGATGCAGTGTATGTTGTACACGCAGGCCAAGTTTTGAGAGAGGTAGGTTCATGTCCAACCTCAGCCGTGGAAGAAACTGAGGTCTGCCTGGCTTGTTATATGTTTTGCTGGCACTAGTTGATGTGAAGCGTGTTGGAGCAAAACCCCTTACTCTGTAGCCATTTATCTCGATCTTATATGGAGTGAGCTTCCTACCAAAGCCATTTCCATGGGTTCACCTGTGGCAGCTGCGTGGGAACAGCTTGAGTATGTCGTGTCAGCTGCCCAAAAAGGTCAACTCGTGGTCTATTCAGACCCAAAGTCAGGCGTTTTGACCCGGAGGGATGTCGTGAATAACGCTGACTTGCTTGGGCCATTGATTGAACATGTTGGTAGCTCGAATGCTTCATCCAAAATGTTTGTGTTTTCTTTTTGAGTAGGTTGGCTTAAATCTAAACAGCTTCAACCAGACCTTTCCGTACATGTATGCTAGGTATGCGGCCGACTATTGGCGACCTTCAGAAGCATGTGGATGAATTCTTTTGGAGGGTGAGGAGTCGTGCAAAGGCTCCAATGACCAGTCCCTAGCCTGCTTCTATATAAGTTTGCAATATGTGTCTTCCAACCCCGAAAACCTTGTACATCCTGCTGTACGATAGGGTTCGTGCAAAAGCAAATCTTCACTCGTTCTAAGGTGCAAAGATCAAAGCCCATGCGTGGGCATTGCGACAGCTCATCACTCAATTTGGGAGAGCGGCCAAGAGGCCTCATGTTCCACGCGAGGCTGCCATGAAAAGTTTGTTCATCAGTGCTGGCGTACCTCTTCCAACAGGCCCCCTGCTCCAAAACAAGTTTCTCACACCATGTTTGTGCCTTTTTAATTGGTCCTGCAGCCTAAGTTCAATTGTCATTTGTTGAGTCAGTATGACCTTCCCTCTAGGTGATGTCAAAGAAGAGCCACAGGAAGATGACGATGAAGAAGGTTGGGAAGAGGAAGCTCCAGAAGATGACCAGATTGTAGACCCAGAGGAGCTTCAACTTATCCTGGAAGAGTTTGTTTGGATAGAAAGGGTTACATATCTTTCCCATGCTCCCACATAAGATATCTTATGGAGACAGGGGCCCATGTATGCATCCACAACCAAGCACTCACCCCCAGCTTCAGGACTTGGCTACCAAGCCAGCTGAACCTTCCAAGTCTTTGCCCGGGCCTGCTGCGGAGGAAGCGGAGTCTTTGGAGGAGATTGCGTCATCATCATTGGGGCCAATTGTGAAGGGAGCTCGCAAGGTTGCCACTGATTCACCTGACCGAAGTCAACAACCTTCCCTGCCAGCTCGGCCTACCAAACCTTTGGTGATCAAACCCAGCACTCAGGCATCTACTATGGATATATTTTTTGGTATTTGGTGGGACATGTTTTAACTGTCCACGTGTACAACTGTACCTGCAACCCTCCCCAAAAAACCCAATCCCAGGCATTCGGAAAGCACCATCATCTATTGCTACTCCTTCGCCCAGAGGCTGGGTGGCCAAAAGACACAGGGCATGACTCATTTCTTAAAGCCCACCTCTTCAAAAAACTGGGGTATCCTGACTGGTTATAATTTGTTCTTGCTAACTCTGGGCCGTTTAGGTGTGGAACCAACGACCCGAACACCTCCAAATCCACCACACCCTACGAGCCTTAAGTTTGGGCATGCTTTGGTGGAGAATGATGGGAGCCACTACACATGTGTGGCATGCTCATGCCAAGCTGCAGACATGGAGGCGCTTGGTGCTATCAAATGTGAGCCTCCTGAGGGTTTCAAGGGTTCCAGCTTGAAACGGCTGGAAGAAGAACGTTGCAAATTGGAAAAACTTAGGAAGCTTAGGCTGCTCGAGCTGGAAATGCTTGAGCTTCAAAGGCTTCAGAGCCAGCGCGCAGCCCTTGCCTCCAAATCCATGACCAAGCAGATCTCTCCTGAAGGTCAACTCCTTGGAGGCCAGTTTGGCAGTGTAGTTCTGGCTGGATAATGTATATGGCAACCGGTTGTGAACACCCCGATCGTATGTACAGACACGTGCTGTGTACACCTATTCATTTTTGGCCCACCAAGAGCCCATAGGATCTAGTACATATGCAAGGAACCTATCATACCAACAATCCCGCCAGTGCAGGACATGTGATGGACAACGTTGAGACCCTGCCGATGGATGTCTCTGAGACCCAGATTGCCACTGTCACTGCAAACACCATTGCCATCGAGAAGGACAGCTCACTATTCCAGCTGGGGTCTATCTAGTCAGACTTTAACTAATATAAACAATATATATAGGAGTGTATAAACTTGTGATCTGGGGAGTTGAGCTGTGTGGAAGTCTAGCCACTCTGCAGGAGCAAGCCCTGCAGAAGCCTGAGGCTAGCCCAAAAAGATTTGCCAGCGTGAACAAAGATGGACTTTCCACGACATTGGTTATGAACACGGAGTTCCTGGAAAAACACGAAGTGCCGTGCCCACCTCCACAGGAGGTGACGCCACAGAATGAAGAAAGTAAGGAGAAGGAGGAGGAGAGTGGCAAGAATGCCACCTTGAACTCTGTTGCAAAAACCTTGGACTACTCGGACATGGGGAAAGCTCTTGATAGTGCAGAGGAGAAAAGCGTGGCAGAAGGGCAAATGGGAAGTGGAGATGATTCTTCTCACGGGAAGGATCGTGAGGGGGCTCAAGGCAAGGCTTCATCGCCTGAAGAAGCGCAGTGCCCTTGCCCTCAAGTTGCTGAGGTCAAGGATGCTGATCGAGTAGAAGGTGAAGCTTGTGCAAAAAAAGAAGTGGAGCAGATAGCACAAGCCAAGGGTGAGGAGGAGGCAAAGAAGGTGAATGGAAATGGTGCTGACTGCAATGAAGGCTCGACAAAGAAGAACAAAAGTGGAAGCAATGAACTGAAGAAGCCAAATGATCCGGAAGTGAAGCGCCCTAAGTGCATTGACACTGCACCACCTGTGGCGCCCAAAGAGCAACCAAAAGCTACCAAGAGAAGCAAGAAGAAAAATGCAGCTTTGAAAGAGCAAGAACGATTGGAGCAGGAGGAGGACGAAGGGGAGGAACAAGAGGGTGAAACGGTCGCCAAAAGTAAGAGGAAAGGGAAGAAATCAAAGGACAAGCATGTGGCGGGCCGCAATGCAAAGGTGAAGGCCGAAGAGCAGAAGGGCAAGCAGGACAAGTCCAAGGAAGAAGGAAGAAAGGGCAAGGCCAAAAAGGACAAACCAAACGAACCAAAAGCCAAGAAGCAACAAAAGACTACGGAGGGAGAGGAGGAGAGTTCAAAGAACGCAAAGCCTGAGAAGACAACAAAGAGGCCATCGAGGGCATCGGAGAAGGCTGCGAAGGCTGCTAAAAAGGATGCTGGCGCTGGCAGGGCAGGAAAGGGCTCTCGGAGGAAGGCAGCTGAGGAGGAGGAGGATGAAGAGCTAAAGGCGAAAAAGCAAAAGCAGTCACGAAAGTCTTCAGCCTACCACCAGGCCTTCAAAAAGGCCAAGCAGGAAGGCATGTCGGAGGCTGATGCACGCAAGGCTGCCAAGGAGGCTGGCCCAACATGGTTGACACGCTGAATATGCTCGAGTGTGTGTATATATATAGGACCAAACTTCATCGATCGAATAGTAAGTGCAAGTACCACAGAGTAAGTTACCATGCAGCCTTGCACTTCTGTGTTTAGGCGTACTCTTCCACTTCATGATCGAGGACCTGATGCTTAGGGGGTTGGTGTCAAAAGGGCATCAAAATGCAAAGCTGGGGCAATAGGATCTGAGTGCCCTTGATTTGCTATAGCGGGGGAACCTTGCCTGTGCAGGGATCAGTACGTTGATGAAAGATGGATGGTGAAAAGGAGTGCATACCGCTCCCTAGTACGTACATGTTTAGTCCTACAGGAGGTGTGTCAAATGAAATATAATATATATATATACTTCACAACCTCACGCCAGGTTGGCAATTGGAAGTTGGCTATGGCCACTTGGATGGCCCGGGCCATGAACGCAGGTGCCCCCTCAGCCTTCAGTGTTTGCGTTTATCACGAATGGTGTTGGAAGTGCGTGCGCAATCTATACACACGCAGCTGGGATCGAGCCGTCATGTTCATATGCAGTCATGGAGTCATCATCACTGAATGATTCCAGCGCAGCCTTCAATTTGATGGAAATGGGTGCTCCAAAATGTTTGGTTGCCCTCGTGCCTAGTATGCAAAGCAGAGTGGTCATCCTGATAGTTCAGCTATGTTCAGAATGAGGGCTCTTAAACTGCCTGCACTGTGCCAACCTTAAGGTCATCATGCTCAAGTGGTGCAAGGACTTTGAAGGTCGTGGACCTTATGACTTCTTTGAAGTCTTCTCCGGAAAAGCGAATACAACCAAGTGGTGGTGTCTTGAACTTGTATGCATTCCAGTACCTATAGACGGGCACTTTACAATTAAGATATTTCATTGCACACAGAACTTAGGCACAAGTGTGGGTTCAAATGTGCATCGTTCGATATAGACTATGCAGCCAATGAACCACGTCCTGCATGTATGAACTTCCTACACCCGGCTGGATTCCTGTTCCTAGGCATCGTTGGTTTCTGTGATTGGCTGGCGCCATGTGTGCACATGTATGTATACTATACTTGATTGCATGCATCATACATGGTCAGGTTATGCCTGATCCTTGCGGCCAATATGCTTCCAAATGCTCTGAATCTACTAGCCCCAGATTGCAGCAGTTGGGGTGT